AGTACACCCTGTGCCCCCCATACTGTGTCCTGAGCCCCCAGACAGGGAGGTATCTGGTGACACACTGTGTCCCTGTCAGAGCTCTCACACAGTGAGTACAGCCTGTGCCCCCCCATACCCTGAGCCCCCAGACAGGGAGGTATCTGGTGACACACTGTGTCCTGTCAGAGCTCTCACACAGTGAGTACACCCTGTGCCCCCCATACTGTGTCCTGAGCCCCAGACAGGGAGGTATCTGGTGACACACTGTCTCCCTGTCAGAGCTCTCACACAGTGAGTACACCCTGTGCCCCCCATACTGTGTCCTGAGCCCCCAGACAGGGAGGTATCTGGTGACACACTGTGTCCTGTCAGAGCTCTCACACAGTGAGTACACCCTGTGCCCCCCATACTGTGTCCTGAGCCCCAGACAGGGAGGTATCTGGTGACACACTGTGTCCTGTCAGAGCTCTCACACAGTGAGTACACCCTGTGCCCCCCATACTGTGTCCTGAGCCCCCAGACAGGGAGGTATCTGGTGACACACTGTGTCCTGTCAGAGCTCTCACACAGTGAGTACACCCTGTGCCCCCCATACTGTGTCCTGAGCCCCCAGACAGGGAGGTATCTGGTGACACACTGTGTCCTGTCAGAGCTCTCACACAGTGAGTACACCCTGTGCCCCCCATACTGTGTCCTGAGCCCCAGACAGGGAGGTATCTGGTGACACACTGTGTCCCGTCAGAGAGCTCTCACACAGTGAGTACACCCTGTGCCCCCCATACTGTGTCCTGAGCCCCAGACAGACAGTGGAGGCATCTATGACACCGTGTCCCTGTCAGAGCTCACACAGTGAGCACACACCCCAGCCCCCCATACTGTGTCCTGAGCCCCAGACAAGAGGTATCTGGTGACACACTGTGTCCCTGTCAGAGCTTTCCTCACACAGTGAGTACACCCCTGTGCCTCCATACTGTGTCCTGAGCCCAGACAGGAGAGAGGCATTCAGACACTGTGCAAGTCCTGCCTAGAGCTCTCACACAGTGAGTACACCCTGTGCCCCCCCATACTGTGTCCTGAGCCCCCAGACAGGGAGGTATCTGGTGACACACTGTGTCCCTGTCAGAGCTCTCACACAGTGAGTACACCCTGTGCCCCCCATACTGTGTCCTGAGCTCCCAGACAGGGAGGTATCTGGTGACACACTGTGTCCCTGTCAGAGCTCTCACACAGTGAGTACACCCTGTGCCCCCCATACTGTGTCCTGAGCCCCCAGACAGGGAGGTATCTGGTGACACACTGTCTCCCTGTCAGAGCTCTCACACAGTGAGTACACCCTGTGCCCCCCATACTGTGTCCTGAGCCCCCAGACAGGGAGGTATCTGGTGACACACTGTGTCCTGTCAGAGCTCTCACACAATGAGTACACCCTGTGCCCCCCATACTGTGTCCTGAGCCCCCAGACAGGGAGGTATCTGGTGACACACTGTGTCCTGTCAGAGCTCTCACACAGTGAGTACAGCCTGTGCCCTGAGCCCCCAGACAGGGAGGTATCTGGTGACACACTGTGTCCTGTCAGAGCTCTCACACAGTGAGTACACCCTGTGCCCCCCATACTGTGTCCTGAGCCCCCAGACAGGGAGGTATCTGGTGACACACTGTGTCCCTGTCAGAGCTCTCACACAGTGAGTACACCCTGTGCCCCCCATACTGTGTCCTGAGCCCCCAGACAGGGAGGTATCTGGTGACACACTGTGTCCTGTCAGAGCTCTCACACAGTGAGTACACCCTGTGCCCCCCATACTGTGTCCTGAGCCCCCAGACAGGGAGGTATCTGGTGACACACTGTCTCCTGTCAGAGCTCTCACACAGTGAGTACACCCTGTGCCCCCCATACTGTGTCCTGAGCCCCCAGACAGGGAGGTATCTGGTGACACACTGTGTCCTGTCAGAGCTCTCACACAGTGAGTACGCCCTGTGCCCCCCATACTGTGTCCTGAGCCCCCAGACAGGGAGGTATCTGGTGACACACTGTCTCCTGTCAGAGCTCTCACACAGTGAGTACACCCTGTGCCCCCCATACTGTGTCCTGAGCTCCCAGACAGGGAGGTATCTCGTGACACACTGTGTCCTGTCAGAGCTCTCACACAGTGAGTACAGCCTGTGCCCCCCATACTGTGTCCTGAGTCCCCAGACAGGAAGGTATCTGGTGACACACTGTGTCCTGTCAGAGCTCTCACACAGTGAGTACACCCTGTGCCCCCCATACTGTGTCCTGAGCCCCCTGACAGGGAGGTATCTGGTGACACACTGTGTCTCCCTGTCAGAGCTCTCACACAGTGAGTACACCCTGTGCCCCCATACTTGTGTCCTGAGCCCCCAGACAGGGGAGGTATCTGAGGTGACACACTGTGTCCCTGTCAGGCTCTCACACAGTAGCCGCACCCTGTGCCCCCCGTACTGTGTCCTGAGCCCCAGACAGGAAGGTATCTGGTGACACACTGTGTCCTGTCAGAACTCTCACACAGTGAGTACACCACAATGCCCCATACTGTGTCCTGAGCCCCCTGACAGGGAGGTATCTGGTGACACACTGTGTCTCCCTGTCAGAGCTCTCACACAGTGAGTACACCCTGTGCCCCCCATACTGTGTCCTGAGCCCCCTGACAGGGAGGTATCTGGTGACACACTGTGTCCTGTCAGAGCTCTCACACAGTGAGTACACCCTGTGCCCCCCATACTGTGTCCTGAGCTCCCAGACAGGGAGGTATCTCGTGACACACTGTGTCCTGTCAGAGCTCTCACACAGTGAGTACAGCCTGTGCCCCCCATACTGTGTCCTGAGTCCCCAGACAGGAAGGTATCTGGTGACACACTGTGTCCTGTCAGAGCTCTCACACAGTGAGTACACCCTGTGCCCCCCCATACTGTGTCCTGAGCCCCCAGACAGGGAGGTATCTGGTGACACACTGTGTCCTGTCAGAGCTCTCACACAGTGAGTACACCCTGTGCCCCCCCATACTGTGTCCTGAGCCCCCAGACAGGGAGGTATCTGGTGACACACTGTGTCCTGTCAGAGCTCTCACACAGTGAGTACAGCCTGTGCCCCCCCATACTGTGTCCTGAGCCCCCAGACAGGGAGGTATCTGGTGACACACTGCGTCCTGTCAGAGCTCTCACACAGTGAGTACACCCTGTGCCCCCCGTACTGTGTCCTGAGCTCCCAGACAGGGAGGTATCTGGTGACACACTGTCTCCCTGTCAGAGCTCTCACACAGTGAGTACACCCTGTGCCCCCCATACTGTGTCCTGAGCCCCCAGACAGGGAGGTATCTGGTGACACACTGTGTCCCGTCAGAGCTCTCACACAGTGAGTACAGCCTGCGCCCCCCCATACTGTGTCCTGAGCCCCCAGACAGGGAGGTATCTGGTGACACACTGTGTCCCTGTCAGAGCTCTCACACAGTGAGTACACCCTGTGCCCCCCATACTGTGTCCTGAGCCCCCAGACAGGGAGGTATCTGGTGACACACTGTGTCCTGTCAGAGCTCTCACACAGTGAGTACACCCTGTGCCCCCCCATACTGTGTCCTGAGCCCCCAGACAGGGAGGTATCTGGTGACACACTGTGTCCTGTCAGAGCTCTCACACAGTGAGTACACCTGTGCCCCCATACTGTGTCCTGAGCCCCTGTGATGTGAGTGTACCCTGTGGCACTGTCTCCTGTCAGAGCTCTCACACAGTGAGTACACCCTGTGCTCCCCCCATACTGTGTCCTGAGCCCCTTAGGGAGGTATCTGTGACACACTGTGTCCTGTCAGAGTTTCTCACAGCAGGCTAATCTCTGTGCTCCCCCATACTGTGTCCTGAGCCTCAGACAGGGAGGTGTATCTGGTGACACACTGCTCCCCTGCTAGAGCTCTCACACAGTGAGTGCACCCTGTGCTCCCCCATACTGTGTGTCCTGGAGCCCCAGACAGGGAGGTATCTGCATTGGCCACTGTGTCCCTGTCAGAGCTCTCACACAGTGAGTACACCCTGTGCCCCCCATACTGTGTCCTGAGCCCCCAGACAGGGAGGTATCTGGTGACACACTGTGTCCTGTCAGAGCTCTCACACAGTGAGTACACCCTGTGCCCCCCATACTGTGTCCTGAGCCCCCAGACAGGGAGGTATCTGGTGACACACTGTCTCCTGTCAGAGCTCTCACACAGTGAGTACACCCTGTGCCCCCCATACTGTGTCCTGAGCCCCCAGACAGGGAGGTATCTGGTGACACACTGTGTCCTGTCAGAGCTCTCACACAGTGAGTACGCCCTGTGCCCCCCATACTGTGTCCTGAGCCCCCAGACAGGGAGGTATCTGGTGACACACTGTCTCCTGTCAGAGCTCTCACACAGTGAGTACACCCTGTGCCCCCCATACTGTGTCCTGAGCTCCCAGACAGGGAGGTATCTCGTGACACACTGTGTCCTGTCAGAGCTCTCACACAGTGAGTACAGCCTGTGCCCCCCATACTGTGTCCTGAGTCCCCAGACAGGAAGGTATCTGGTGACACACTGTGTCCTGTCAGAGCTCTCACACAGTGAGTACACCCTGTGCCCCCCATACTGTGTCCTGAGCCCCCTGACAGGGAGGTATCTGGTGACACACTGTGTCTCCCTGTCAGAGCTCTCACACAGTGAGTACACCCTGTGCCCCCCATACTGTGTCCTGAGCCCCCAGACAGGGAGGTATCTGGTGACACACTGTGTCCTGTCAGAGCTCTCACAGTGAGTACACCCTGTGCCCCCCATACTGTGTCCTGAGCCCCCAGACAGGGAGGTATCTGGTGACACACTGTGTCTCCCTGTCAGAGCTCTCACACAGTGAGTACACCCTGTGCCCCCCATACTGTGTCCTGAGCCCCAGACAGGGAGGTATCTGGTGACACACTGTGTCCTGTCAGAGCTCTCAGTCTCCTCACAGAATGGGCGGGAACGCTGGGAGCCCGCGCTGCGCTCTGATTGGCTGGCTGATGACGCCATTACGCTGCGTGACGTGCGTGTTGCGGAGAGTGGGGCTGCGGCCTAGTGACTGAGCAGAGACCGGGACCTCGATTTTGCAGCTAGCCCAGACACCATGGCCCCACGGCTGCAGCTGGAGAAGGCCGCGTGGCGCTGGGCGGCGAGCGTCAGACCGGAGGATGTGGGTCTGGAGCAGATCGAGACCGCTTACCGAGTGCGGCTGGAGCCCTGCGTGCGGGGGGTGTGCAGGTACCGAGCTCGGTGCTATCGGTCTCACTGTGTGAGAGCTCCGGGTCCCTCATTATAACCCAACCCCGCCCGGGGCCGCTAACCAACACTGCGCCATCACACAGGACCCCAATACAGCCCCCCCTTAATACAGCCCCCCCTTAATACAGCCCGGGGACCCCAATACAGCCCGGGGACCCCAATACAGCCCCCCTTAATACAGCCCGGGGACCCCAATACAGCCCCAATACTGTGGGGACTAATACAGCCCCATGTCTGTGGGGACTAATACAATATAATGCAATGGGGACTAATGCAAGCTATGTGCAGCCAGGGACCCCAATGCAATGTAATACAACCAGGGACTAATGCAATACTATAATACAGCCAGGGGACTAATGCAATATAATACAGCCAGGGACCCCAATGGCCCTATAATGCTGTAGGGACCCCAATGCATGGGACCCAATACAACCGGGAACCCCAATACAATGGGACCCCCTCCTTAATACAACCAGGTTAATACAGCTATAATATAGCCGGGGACTAGTATTATAATATGGGGACCCCAATACAATATATGCTGCCGGGGACCCCAATGCAATATAATACCTTAGGGACTGGCCTGGTATAATGCCCAGGGACCCCAATACAGCCCCCATAATACAGCCTGGGACCCCCTCCTTAATGCAGCCGGGACCTATTGCTGTACAACCCGGGACCCCAATACAGCCCCCACTCAACAATACAGCCGGGACCCCAATGCAGCCCCATAATGCTGCCGGGGGACCCCAATACAGCCCCCATAATACAATGGGACCCCAATACAGCCCCTTAATACAGTCCAGGTTGTACAGCCCCTTAATGCAATTTAGGGACCCCAATGCAGCCCTCCTTAATACAGCCGGGGACCCCAATACAGCCCCTTAATACAGCCCGGTGACCCCAATACAGCCCCCCCCTAATACAGCCTCTGGGTCCTCAGTGAGCACCAATTATAACCGCAGGAGCTTCGCAGACCCCAGTTATAACAATCTCTTTTCTTAACGTTTTCTTTCAGAAGGAACTGCAAAGGAAATCCAAACTGTTTGGTTGGGATTGGTGAACATGTTTGGTTGGGAGAAATAGATGAAAACAGCTTCCACAATATTGATGATCCAAACTTTGAGAGGAGGAAAAAGGTGTGCACTCTATTCTTATTAAATAGTAGCTTGGAACTGTTTTTATATTTTAGAATAAACTAATACAGAGAAAATAGACTTGTACTGTGGGTTTTTACTTTGGCTGTTTATTGTTTGAGTAAATATCCCTTAGGCACTAGCGAGTTTTTTCCTCCTGATATGGACTTGCACTTCCCTTGACAAATTATGATAAATTATCTTGAGATAGTGTTATGGTTAATGAGACCTGCTAATCTAACTTTCTGCATAAAAAATAGTAAAATAGTGAGAGCACACTGTACATGCAATAAATTATATTACCAATACTTCACAAGGTAAATGGCTGAAACATAAAAAAGGAGAGAAAAAAACACATAGGGTAATATTGTTTACACTGTGTATATTAACCGTATGTAATTGGTTGCACTCACGTGGTTCTGAGTCACTTTAAAAGCTGACTCAGACTAAGGGCTTAAATCGGAGAAGAAATCCTTAATACTGGACCACTTGTGTTGAAATATACGTTGAGATAAAGTTGTCTCAGAATCTAACTTTCTCATTTTCCATTTCTTTTTCCATAATATATGCTGTTCGCATGCATGACATTTAGCGACAGTGTCTTTCTATCGCAATATGGACCCAAAAGCATGTCCTGAAACATGATTTTCATTCCTAAAGATGATTTATAAAAATATGATAAGCAAAAACTAAAAAAAAAATAACCGTAAAGATCCTTTAGGCTAATTTCCCTACCCATCATTTGGCTGTCTCCTGCAGAAGAAGTCTGATGTCTCTATTGAATAAAGCCTAGACTGCACTCCGCTGAGAGCGCTCTGTTTTTGCTCCCAACCTTTGAATGTGGTTATCCGTGACCTTGTTTATCTCTGTAGAGCTAACATGATTCTCCGGCAGGGGATGCTTCACAGCATGACTTTATTTTCGTCTCTATTTCAAAATATGGATTTTAGCCAATTTTGTAAATGTTAGAAATGTTAGTGTTTTTCCTGTGATGACACTGCCAACTCTAATGTGGTTTTATTTTTTGCCTCTTGCCATAGAATACGTTTGTTGGTTTGACAAATTTGGGAGCCACCTGTTATGTCAATACATTTGTTCAGGTGTGGTTTCTAAACATGGAGTTCCGCAGAGCGCTTTATCTTTATGAGAATTCTTGGAGTGTGGCAAAGGCAGAAGAATGTATCCTGGAAGATAAAGGTGGGTTAAAGGGACTCTGTTCTTTAAATAGTGCTTCATTATGATATGTATTTATTTAGCAGAATGTTTATATCAAGAGAAACTTGACTCCGTCACTAATATATAGCATTGTGCTTTAAAAATGCTCTTTTCAAGGCCATGAAGTGTATATTATAGTCTGGCGGTTTAGGCCAAAAACTTGTAGATCGGTTTTTAATTCTCCATAGTTAGACACCCAAATGTGACATGTCTGCTTCCAGTGGTGCGCACAGACAGAGAAGGCTGAAATATTTATCTCAACGTGTTCGACTCCATCTTCATTTTTTGTGTAGCTTAATCTTTTTAGAACTAACGTCTCTGATGTATTCTCATAATTTTGAGCGTTCCAAATGGGTCTGTGGAAAATAACACAAGAGTGTGGGATCCTCCTTGGATAAATTTGCACTCACCAGTTCCCATCGAGGGGCAAATTCGACGTGTGGAGCCAGAACCTGTTTGAAGTACTATTGTCACACCTTGCCAAAATTAAGCTCACACCAATGGTGTTCTAATTTCAGTGACATTCCAATACATTCTCTATTAGCTTTTCATAATCAGCCCATCTATGTGAAAAACACAAGTGAGATTGCCTCTTTAATTCCTGAATTGACAAGGCATCATTGTATGTGTTGTTTCTAATAGATGCTCACATTCTTTAGTTGATTGTACTCTGTTGTGTTTTTTTTCATTCTCTCAGAATATGAGCCGCAAACAATCTGTGAACAACTGCAATACTTATTTGCTTTGTTACAAAATAGCAACAGACGGTACATTGATCCTTCTGGCTTTATAAAAGCACTGGGCTTGGACACTGGGCAGCAGCAGGTAATTATCGACATAAATATTAGAAGCCTATTTCTTATCATTTGCTCTTTCAGTTTCCATTCTATGTTGAACTCCGTTGTCCTGCAAATCTTTGCTAAATCACACATTAAAGATCATGTAACCACTGCTTCACAACCCTGGGTGATGATAAAAGGTTGGAGCTCTCAGTGACAGACCTGTGAATGGACGATTCCCTGCGACAAACTGTGTCTGACAAGTCTGTATCTGAAAATGTTGTTGTCTTTTCAATTCCTCAAAGGAATCAAAGATACTTGCCCTTCTTTTGGGGTGTAAAGGCATGCCGCTGGTCTACATGCTGCCAGTCAGAAAGCAGCTGCCTCCACGCAGATGGCAGTGCTTTACTGCCTGTGACGTTGCCTCCACGCAGATGGCAGTGCTTTACTGCCTGTGACGTTGCCTCCACGCAGATGGCAGTGCTATACTGCCTGTGACGTTGCCTCCACGCAGATGGCAGTGCTTTACTGCCTGTGACGTTGCCTCCACACAATATTTATTTTGTCTCTTTTGCAGTTAATGAAGGAGCTCTCAACATTTAAATTCACAATAGTTTATTCTGTTATTTTACAGTAGAACTTGTCAGCAATTAAAGTTACTCTTACGCGTATTTATTTTTTTCTGCTGGTGGATACTGTGTGGTGGTTGATGTGCATGATAATGTGTGTCAGAATTACTTACTATGTATGTTCAAGGGAGGGGGGTGGCTGGGTGTGACTTTATGATGTTTGATTACATTTTATAGCTAGTGGGCTTGGCTGAGTGTGATGTGGGTTTGTATAAGTGTCAGTTGACAGCTTCTTGTTATGAGCCCTTGTGTGGTTTTGGTTTGGCTAAGGGTGGGCGAAGTTAATAAAAGGCTAGGAAGGGGTCATTGCAGGTGAGAAGAGAAATTACGTAAAAAGAAAAGTGCACTGTGCAATGAAGGCTCTTATATAATCGTGATATTACTTAATGTATCACAGTGGGATAATTAGCTTTCCTCTTTTCTTGTGTTTTTCTCCTCTTCTGAGAATCCTTCTTACAAGAATATGAAGAGGTTCTGTTATTACCCAATCCACACCTGCTAATGAGAATTGAGCCTATCCTTGTAGGGCTCTTTACCATGTACGTGTGGCTTACATTCGTATACACCACTTTAAAGGGTGCACCATATTTTGCTACCTTCTTTTTTTAGGAATACACATATATGACCAAATCCCCCTCTCCATTTAGGAATCTAAGTGTGGATACACATTTTAGCGCTCCGCTGGGTTTACTTGTAGTGGATAGATTCCACTGGGTTCTCTCTGTTTTTATACTTCGTGTGTGTGTGTGTGTGTGTGTGTGTATATATATATATATATATATATATATATATATATATATATATATATATATATATATATATATCTCTCTCTCAGATTAACAGCATAATTCTTTAACGTCTGAGTGGTCCCATACTGATTGGGTCAAAACCATATAATGCTGTACAATTCAGACATTGTTCAGGCTTGCAAAAAGCAAATGAACAATAATTTGCAAATATGCTTTTAGTCCTAAATTTTTGTAGAACCAGTGCTTAATGAATATTCGGAATCTTTACAATAGTATGTACACTAGAGGGTAAGCGTGTGAAGGCACCGATTTTAATTCAGATGTCAAATGCATGCGGATTATTGCTACAGATCTGATCGGACCGACTGAATTCCAAACAGATTTAGTAAATTTGAGAATTGCCATTCCGGTTGGAGTTCAGCCAATTTTGTTTTAGTAGATTACCTTGTATATGCGTGTGTACAATGAGGGAAAAAGGTATTTGATCCCCTGCTGATTTAGAATGTTTTCCCACTGACAAACAAATGATCAGTCTATAATTTTAATAGTACCTGTATTTTAACCGTGGGAGACAGAATAACAACAAAACAAAACAAAAAAAAATCAGAAAAACAGAATAACAGAAATATTGCTGATTGATAGGGGTCAAATACATATTTCACTCATTGACATGCAAATCAATTTATCGACTTTTTTGACATTTGTTTTTCTGATTTTTTGTTTTTTTTGTTTTTTGTTTTGTTGTTGTTCTGTCTCCCACGGTTAAAATACACCTACCATTAAAATTATAGACTGATCATTTCATTGTCAGTGAGCAAACGTTCAAAATCAGCAGGGGATCAAATAGTTTTTTCCCTCACTGTATATCCATTGTGTTCATTTCATGATCTTCATTTTTTAAATTCTACAATAGACCATGTTTGTATGTTTAGGAGCCTCTCTTTCACGCATTCACACACATCTACAGACTCCTTCTACCTGTGCAAATGTATTCTTTGTTATTGCTAGTATCTTCAATGGGCACATTAACACAATTACGCATCATACATATACCCTACTTGTAAATAAAATATAATGTGTTTTATTTAATCATTATTTTTAGGTATTATTTTCTTCTTACAACTTTATAATATTTCAGTTTGGTTCATTCCAAATTTAAGGTTGTGTTTATTTATTTATTTATTTTTTATGAACTCCAAGCATCATAACTACTGCATATTGAAATGCTGCACGTACTCACTGCATTCATTATGACTGTGTCAAATCAATGAAGAGGCCGTGGTGCTTAAAATAAGCCTTTTAACTGTATTTTAAAATATAATTATTTATAACAAGATGGATATAAAAGAGGTTGGCACACTACTTAATTTGACAAAATAGTGTTAAATTTACTGGAGGGATAGAGCATCATACGAATAGGAGATCCCATTGAAATATTTAAAAAATAAATTTGAATGTTAAAATGGGACACTCTAAGCACCGAAACCACTTAATCTTTAAGTGACCCAGTCATTTCAGTCTTGCAGTGTAAATCATTGCCGTTTCTGGAAAATAGCAATGTTTACATTTTTCAGTAACCACTTATGTTCACTGTCTTGCACACTATGCAAAGACGCAGGACATTCCATTAGGACAATACAGGCAGCTCCAGTGTGAGTATCTGCACTGTCCTACAATAATCCGTGGGAGGTGTGTGTGCAATGCTCCGTTTCTCCTGCTAGGAAGTGAGAGAGCTAAGGATCGCTCTTACATTAGTTTTGAAAATGAAACCGAAGACAGGAGAAGTATTGTCTCCCGGAGACTGTCTGCAAGCTGCTTGGAACAGACATCAGGACATCACGTTAACTGTGAGTAACATTTATCTATTATGTAGCTGGTGTCTTTTTTATTTATTTAAACATATTTTAATGTTAAATATATAATTTAACTTATGTACATATATAAAATAAATATATATTTTATTTGTAGCCATTATATTTTTGTGGCATATTCACTACATTGTTGTATTCAAAATTGCAAATTATTCATGCACTCTGTAGTGGTTATGGTTTATAGATTATCCTTTTTAAATAGTAATTGTGATCATTAATTTCACACAAAAAAACAACCCATTTTGCAGATTTTGATTGCAATTAAGTTTATTGAATAAGCCCCCCAAAAATGACAGTTATTTAACCTATAAGTGTGTGTGTGAGTGTTTTTCTCAGTTGCCGAATAATGCTGTTAATCAAATGAATAGGTACATAATAAAAAGAACACTCCGTGTAAAGAGCAGGGACTGTTAAGTAAGTTAAACCCTTTTTTGCGAGTGACTCTTGGTGTGTATTTGGGAGTGAGTTTGCATGGGCATACAGGTCTGGGAGCCTGTACCACGTGGGACCACAATATGTTTCTGTAACAGGCTTTGCAGTTTCTGATGGTAGCTGTGCCAACTCTGGAGATTATGCTGCAGGTTTTGTGTTTGGTCAGCTGTTAATACTAAGGTATGGCAAGTTTAAATGTAATATAAAATGTAGTGTAAGGGTTCGGGGGTTCTGTTTGAAGGGACACTCTAGGCACCATATCTATTTCACTGTTTTGGGGTCCAGTCTCTCTGTGCTGCAGAAGCGTTAGAGCAGCACTTATAGGCAGGGCCATCTTATCACTGCTATCCCAGGTATGGACTGGTAATGTGGAGTGTAAATGGCTCACTGTTAAGCCTTCAAACAGCACCCAACCCTTTTTATTACAACTTACATTGCCCATAGCTTTCACTATCTTAATAGTAACTGTATCCCTAACACAAAAATATAGCTTGTATCGTTAGTGCTACCTGGGCTACCCTCCATAATCGATCAGACATGTGGATCCATGCAAATTCACTGGCACATACAATCCCAGACCTACTATCACTTTCATATAAACTCCCACATTCCCAGACACACATACAAATTGTCATACATTGCTAGACACACACAGACTCTTAGATATGCATTGCCATTAACACACATCCATAGTTTTACTTTTTGCTGCTGGAAGCTGGCTTCCCCGGTGTCCAGTGTGAGCAGCTCCTGCAGGTTACTCTGTCTCCTCCACGCAATATCCTGTGTTCTCTGGGAGGGGGTAATATAAACTAATTTACTTGCTGTGCTGCTACGCTAGAAGGCTGCAATCTCGGCCAGTCTCTGCAGGCAATTTGGGCCTGTGCGGCCTAAATGGTATCTCCTCATCTGGTCAACATTGTGTTAAAGGGCCCCTTAACACAGTATGGACATTTGCCACTTTTTCACTTTTCCAGGCTGGTTGGCAAGGGACTTTGTATTAAAATACCCATGTCTGCATGTCACTGGAAGCTTAGGGTGACATCTATATCAAGTATTTGGTTTGAATGCATTTCATTTCATGGTCAACACATGACAAGTGCTGCACCGCCAATATTAGCAGTATTACAGCATGGTTCAGCTTTTTATTTTTTGTCGTCAAGATGTATAGTGTTTTAAAAGCGTTTCTTTGGGGACAAACGTTGTTGGACAACACATGAAAAGTAATCGCAAAGCTTTTTTTTAGTGTAGTAAATAGTGTGTGTGTGTGGCCAAAAGTGGAAAAAAGCATTATGGGGGTGAGGGGGTCCTTGTGCGCACTACTAGGCAAGTCATGAACATTGGCCCCCCTTGGTCACATTGAACATTGCTGTATGGGCATGGTAGCATGTTCCATGCTCCACCAGGCAGTTGGCTAAAAGATTAAATGTTACTTTGTTGCAGAATATTTTTACGGCTGTGCCAGATGTGAATAGGAGTGCCAGGTGTAAATAGTGCTGCCCTTTGTGGCATTGAAAATCAGTGTATTGGTATGGCAGCGCTTTTCATGCAGTTTCTGCAGTCATTGGTCTGTTTTGCAGCTTCCAGTGTCAGTTTTTGTGATGGAAACTTTTCCCCCCCATATGCCTGAGTTAAGTAGTCAGCTCAATATAACCGTCTACTATTGTCAGTGCAGTGCAAGTTTCAGCATTTTTAAGGAACACTCTAAGCACCATAACCACTATAGGTTGCTGTAGTAGTTTTAATCTTCCAAATTGAGTAGTCCGCCTGTTTTGAGAATGTTTTGACAACTTTACTGTGGTCCAACGAGCACCAGCCACTACCTCCGAAGATGGAAGAAGCTCCAATGCTGAGAGCTAAACCTGACAGGGCATGGAGGCACTCGGTAGCTGAGAGTAATTTGCCTTATGAAAAAGTGTGTCTGTCTATCGTGTGTATGTCTACTTTACAATGTGTCAAAGCTTAAAGGAACACTATAGGGTCAGGAATACAAATGTGTTTGTAAACACTGCCAGCCACCATTGCCCTGCTTATAGAGTTAAATCATACCTTTATTCCAGTGCCACAGAGGTCTGCTGGAGTTTGTTCCAACCTTTCTTATGGTAAAGCATTGAATTCTGGTGTTCTCAGCCAAGGAGGTGGGACAGGTTGTGAAACAAAACACAGCGCTGGCTAATCAGCATCTTTGCATACACGCACTGAATCAATGCATCTCCAAGAGGACTGTTCAGTGAAGACACTAAACCTCACCAGCACTGACCCAGGAAGCACCTCTAGTGGACGTCTGAGTGACTGACACTGAAGGTGTCCCTAAGCACCAATACAAACACTGCCTTTTCTACAAGAAAATGCCGTCAGGGACTGACTTTACTCACAAGAACAACTACATGAAGCTGTTGATGTTCTAGTGACTGAGTCCATTTAATAGGGACAGCTTGGGCTCCACAACAAATTTAAATGAAGCTGAATGGTTTTTACCTCAAGAGGTTCAACCATTCTAGAATGGTTTAACCCCAACGTTACCTCCAGTGCCGATCTCTGCTGTCACCCCCATACAGCATCCGGCTTTTGAAATTTCAGTTTTTGATAAGTGCAGAGTGCTGCCTGGCAGGGGTGCCTCCAATTGGCTGAGAGCTGTCAGCTGACTCCAATCAGTGACTCCCTTGCCATGGAAAGGGTAAGTGTTGTGTTTTTTTTTTGTTTGTTTTTTCAAAGCCAGTTTTGTGAATGGGGAGTCACTGGTTGATAGCTTCAGCTGACTGCTCTCAGCCAATCAGCAACGCCCTTGCCCAATGGCACTCTGCGCTTCCTGAAACTGAAATTTCAGAAGCCAGTTGCACTTTGGTGGAAGAGCTAAAACACGCACAGGAGGCAACTTCAGGCTAAAAAGTTTGAGAACAGTTTAACCCCTTGAGGTAAGAGTGAGCCTGGGGGCCTCCTGGCACCATAACTTAATTTAGATGAAGTTGTTATGGTGCCTGGAGTGCCCCTTTTAAAATGTGAAGTCCTATGCTCCCAGCCAGGCATACACACCAAGGTGTACTAGTTAAATTAGAGGCGAGCTGAAAGAATGCCACGTAGTCCATAGTAGTGCTCATTTCATGTTTTTTTTGTTTTTTTTAATAAGAATGTATGTTCATAAGAATAGAATAAAAAAATATATATATATATATTTTCTTTTTTTTTATTTCAGGAAAACATTAAAAGGAGTCTGAAAATTCTATCTTCCAGCGGTCCACAGAGATTTTTATGTACATAAAAAAATTTGTATCTGTTTTACGTTATCTTGTGTATAGTTATTTAATGTCATTTTTAATACGAATAAAGATTTTTATTATGATGAGCAGAATTATTGAGAATAGAAGGATGTAAGCTTTTATTTTTTTGTTTATCCTAATTTATACAATCCTATATTTTTTTTATTTTTATAATTTATGAAAAAAATTCTTAATTTAAGCTAATTGGTTTGAATATGTGTGCGTGTGTTGGACAGACATTGGGTATACTTAAAAAATCGGTTCTTCGGAGACAACTGACACCTCATAGCAAAGGAAAGATTCAGCCATTTCAAATGAGAGATAGCTTGTTGTCTACTTATACATAGACAAGGTGATGAATGCTCCTTTTTGGTGCCTTTTTTTGTTATTTGTGTATTGAAAACATTTGCTGAGATCAAATGGAGATAATTAACCTCAGCTGCAAAAGTATGGAATCTGGTTGCCATGGTTTACTTGTGCCCCTAGGTGGACGCAGGAATATGGATTGTAGACCTAGACCCCTGCTCAAACCGCTACGCCATGAGGAAACCCCAGTGTCTCTTGACACTTCCTCTTTGTTTAAAAACAAACATCACAATGAAATTGTATGATAATGATGTAGGGATTACTTGACTAAATTAAAACGAAATTATATATTAATTTATTACATTTGTTAAAACCAAAATAAGAAATTGAGAAGAAATTTGTGATATTTTACATTCAAATTTACACTTTAAGCGTAACCAATACGTCAATAAACTTAAAAAAATACAGTTAAACACTTATTGAAAATCACATAAACAAATATACATGTTGCAAATATATGATTATTATTTATATAGCGCAATCAGATTCCGTAGTGCTGTACAATGGGATTGATCTTAACATTTATTTAATTGGGAAATATTTTTGTGTGATTTAAAACATTTTTATATGGAAATTTCTTTTTAAATGATGTATTTTCACTTTTAATATTTATTTGTTTTACATTTCGTTAAAGGTCCACTATAGTGCCATACTCTTTTTGGCACTATAGTGTCTCTAGGTGCCCCCCTCCCGCCGGGCTCTAGGGAGTGGAAGGGGTTAAATCTTACCTGTTTCCCCCGCCTAGCTCCCTCGGCGCGGGGAACTCTCCTTCTCCTTTTCGCCGTCATCGGCTGAATGTGCATGCGCGGCAAGAAAAATCACAGTGAGAAGCACGGAAGCACCTCTAGCGGCTGTCAATTAGCCACTAGAGGCTGGATTAACCCATTTGTAAACATAGAAGTTTCTCTGAAACTGCTATGTTTACAGCAAAAAGTGTTAAGCCTAGCTGGACCTGGCACCCAGACCACTTCATTAAGCTGAAGTGGTCTGGGTGCCTATAGTGGCCCTTTAAAAAAAACTATAATTTGTAGAGAATGTTTCATGAAATAGAAAATACATTTTTGTGATTAAACTTCAATACTATTTTTAGATTCATCAAAAATAAAATTTTGTAGTGTTTTCATACATGTGATTTTTGGGAACATAAAATTAGAATTTGAGACCTTTTGAAAGAGAGGAAATTTGACTGTACATTGTGAATCACATAAAAGTTTGTGAATTTATTTTGAGGATCGAGAAGATATGCTGTGATCGGCTGCTTTCTGCACTTATCAGGGGGTTGGTTTATTTTTATGAAAGTTAATGTTTTTTTATTTTACATATATAGATGTAAACAAAAAAGTACTTTTATTCATCTCTTTACTGAATACACAGTATGAATAGCCCCTTGTGCTCTAGTTGAGTAAATGTAACATACATAGCTCACCAACAAGGCACAGATCCGTGGGGAAAATGCACTGTATAGAATCATACATCGAAATAAACAAGGCAAGGTAAAAAATAAATAAAATGTAGTGTGTAGCATTCCTTCAGTAATCACCCATCGAATCCATGTGGAATGTGTCTGGAATTCCCATTCATCCCAGACCTATGCTAAATCCCCTAAGTTTGAAGTTTTGTCTAGTTGCAAATGCATAAGTCTTAGTTTTGGCCTAATTGCCCAAAATATCTGCCCTAGAAGGCGATATGACTGACTTGTAATTCTGTGTGAACGCATCTATAAGTAATATCTTGTGCCATTTATTAATTTGACCTTGGATGTATCTAAATAATCCCAAGAGAGGAGTGCAGGGAAATTTGCAATGTAATTATTTAATAGAGATACGAAATATGGTGTTAGAATAGTTGTGAATGCTGGGTAGTAAAGGTTGGTAAAACCGTGTGGGCCAGGGGAAGGTACTTTATAAATTATGGCTTCTGCTTCTTCGTTGGACACTGGATATATCAAAGGCATTTTAGATTTAACTCTCTGAAATTGTCTCTTCTAATACGTTGGCTACTTCCTCAGGCTTGAGTTGTGGCATTGTAATGTCATCCACTAGGTTCATTATTTAATCTCCCTTCTCATTGACCATATGAGTTATATTAAACACAGACCTTGGCTGGAACTTAATTGTCTAAGAGTGATGCTGTTTTGTTATCGTTAGCATAAAAAACTTTTCATTTAAGAAGATATAAAAAAAAAAAGTGTAGTTTATTTAAGGCTAATTTAACTTGTTCTATTTTCTTTAGAGTTATCTGATTTGATAATATTTTAGTTGTCTGAGGTCATACAATTGGATTCGCTGCTTGTTGGATAAAGTTGACTTGCAAAGTGAAACTTCTATTACTAAGTTACCTGACGTTATATTAGCCTTTCCCTGACTCATATCATTATTGTTTTCATTAAAATTAAAATAATAGGGGCATGATCAGACAATGTGATATTGGACATGTCCAAACTCTCCACCATCAAAATTCTTTCTATTCTAGAGTGCATATTATATACCATAGAATCAAAAGTATAGTCTTTTTCGTGAGTGTTATGTCAGTGTCATATGTCATCTAGGTCATGTCCATGAAGAGTTTCATACACAAAGCCAGCCTGTCGGAACAGTTACGGTTGTGTGTAGAGATATATATATATTTATTTATTTAAATATCCAACGTTCTATCTTTACATACTACTACCCTACCAACTCTCATTTGCTCTGTCTTATGCAGTATATTTTAAAAATCTTTGTTGACCAGAGTTTACGAAATACACGTTCGCCGGGGTATAAGAAAAGTAATTACCTTTTCCCACCTATAAAATATATCTCTCCTTCGGATCCTTCACCACTTTAACCTGCCTTGTTTTTTGTTTTTAATAAAAGTAGAGTGATTTTGAGTAAAGTTTTAAAGTATATCGATGGGTGCACATTGCCTCTTAAAATTATGTTTCCTGAATACACAGGATAGCCGCATTCGGCTGTTTTGTCTCTCTAAGCGCCATCCAGCATTTGTTATGGGGAATACTGTCCCATAACATTAAAAGCTACTACCTTGAGTACCATGTTTATAACATGTGGAGAAACTGGGTTAAATGCCTGTTCTTGAAACCTTGTACATCCAGAATAATTTACACTTTTGTGCCGGTGGCTAGTTACATCCCCATCACATGTGACTGTAGCAGCCCAGAATTTCCAGGTTATCTAATGACAATTCTGTGCGTATTTTACTGACATTTTCCTAATTTTAAATCTTTTTTTTTCTTGCAGACAAAACATGCAAATAGAATCTTGTGTCTCCCCTTCCACACTGAATGCAGCCCCCCATCACATCCCTTACATTTAAAATAAAATAATTTTTTAGGGAGCCCCCTCCCTTTTCCCCTTCTCTTCTCCTCTCTGAACGCAAATATGCAGCTAAACAATCCAATCAAAGACTTCTCTACGAGAAGCCTTTGACTGGACCACACGACTGAGGCGTGACGTCAAGAGGTTGCATGCTGAGCAGCGCCGAGATAAATGTTTTGCAGAACACTGCCCCATATGCCTGCCTCCCTAGCCACGCCCCCTCACATGAGAGACTTCCTTATCAAGTGTACGTACACCGCTCAGTCAATGACTTTTAATTCACAACCTGGCTGCAGACCACCAATAGGTAGTGATATCCTTTCGACATTTCTGCTTGGAGTCACATACGGAACTTTATACATAGGTAACTGGAGAAGACGGCATATTGTGATGTGAAAAATATTTGCCACTTTTTATGATTGCTGAGAGTGATTTAACGAATTTGGAAATGATTGCTGTTTATTTTTGCTAATAATTTGATTATTTTAGGATGCCCAGGAATTTTCCAAGCTGTTCATGTCCTTGCTCGAAGACACCTTGTGCAAACAGAAGAACCCCGATGTTAAAAACATCATCCAGAAGCAGTTCTGTGGGCAGTATGCGTATGTCACAGTGTAAGTTGCAGGGTTTTTGGGCTCTTGCTAGATGTGGAAAACTATATTATAGGCGGGAGCTTGATTGACATCGTGCTTCCTGATTTCAGCTGCAGTCAGTGTGGCCGTGAATCCAAGCTGCTGTCTAAATTCTACGAACTGGAACTGAACATCCAGGGCAACAAGCAGCTTCCGGACTGTATCAGTGAGTTCTTGAAGGTAAGGTGTATGAATGCGCCACTCATTGCTCGGTGAGCTCCGCGACGGCTGTGATGGTGATAACCTTCCCGTTTGTGTATTTTCTGGGACAGGAAGAAAAGCTGGAAGGAGACAATCGATATTTCTGTGAGAATTGCCAGAATAAGCAAAATGCTACAAGAAAGATCCGATTGCTCAGTCTTCCCCCAACGCTGAACCTGCAGCTGATGCGCTTTGTATTTGACAGGTATATTGCTACGGTGCTGAGTGTATTCCTTACCGTGATATCCATGACGATGTAGACTTGCCTGCATGAAAATGTTCCTTTCTTTTGTTTTGTTTTTTTGTTATCTGATGAAGTAAAAAAAACAAAAACAGATATTTATGGCAATAATGGTTATGGGTGAGATTAACTGCTTGTAGAGCGAAAGATAAATCTAATCACAAGAATTATTTTTTCTTTCATTTGTAGCACAATTAGAAATGTATTTCATATTTTTTTCTTTTCACTACATTTGGGATCCAGAGTAAGATTCCCCCCATGCCCTGCTGCCATTTATTAGCAATGTAAGAAAGCTGACTTAAAACCGCCATGGTGTGTTTCACAGGCAGACTGGTCACAAGAAGAAGCTTAATACCTACATTGGGTTTTCTGAGACTCTAGACATGAGTCCATATCTGGACAGGACAGGTGAGTGAACTTTATTTCTGCTCCTGTCCTTTACATAACAATGTAAAGATAGATAGAGATATATATATATATATATATATATATATAATATATATATATTTTTTTTTAATTATTCTTTTTGTTCAACTGTAAGGGGGTGGGGGTGTTGCTGAATAGTAAGTTGTTTGGTTGCCAAGACTTATAATAAACCAATTAATTGAAAGGGTAGAGATTGCACGTGTGGGAATTTCTGGTTAGATGGAGTAACTGTGTTAAGCTGTTTTGTGACATGTGAATTCTGTGATATCCTCTGTATTCTATTCTACAGATGGGGAATGTGTGTATGAGCTGAGTGCCGTGCTCATACATCGTGGAGTAAGCGCTTACTCTGGGCATTACATAGCACATGTGAAAGATCCACAGTCTGGTGAATGGTATAAATTTAATGATGAGGAGATCGAGAAGGTGGAGGGGAAGAAACTCCAGCTTGGGATTGAGGAAGATCTAGGTAAAGCCTTTACGTTGTGAGTGGCCTTCTTAAAAAAATCTAACTTTATTTGGAAAATGCTGCAGATCTTATCACAGATGAGAAAATGTTTTTTTAAAGGAATACTCTATGCACCAAAACAACTTTAGCTCAAGAAAACCATTTGGCGTATAGATCATGCCACTGATATATTTTTGCTTAATTCTCTGCCATTTAGGAGTTAAATCACTTTTGTTTATGCAGCCCTAACCACACCTTCCTTGCCTGTGACTGACACAACCAGCATGGAGAATTTTTTTTTGTTTTTCATGATCAGATGTTACAGCAAAGTGTTTATTTTAGAAGTTCTCATCTTCTGCTCTGTTAATTAAACTTAAAGTGGCACTGTCGTGCCGAACTTGCATTTCCACCATGGTTTCCTTTTCTCTTCCTGTCTCAGAAACTGATCTTTTTTTTCCCCTTTATTTCTGATCTAGTTTTCATTAAAAGCATAAGACAAAGTAGGGACTGCTTTGTATTATGTATTTTTCCTACGGTTGACTTTCTTTGATCAAAGGATTCGGTTAAGTCAACTCCATTTCCTGTATCAGAGAAAGTTTGCCCATAATACTCACCAACCTCCTTGACACAGGAAATGGAGCCGACTTAAAGGAACACTATAGGGTTAGGAACACAAACCTGTATTCCTGACACTATAGTGTTAAAACCACCATCTAGCCCCCCAGTCCACCCATGCCTCCATAAAAATAGCAAAATCTTACTTGTGTTCAAGCCTAAAGCTGTAGCTCTGCATGTTGTTTGCCTCAGAAAAACAAGCTGTCTGCTGACATCATCAGAAGTGGTGGCCTGATCCAATCACAATGCTTCCCCATAGGATTGGCTGAGACTGACAAAGAGGCAGATCAGGGGCAATCAGCATCTTCTCATATAGATTAATTGAATCAATGAATCTCTATGAGGAAAGTACAGTGTCTGCTTGCAGAGGGAGGAGACACTGAATGTTTGTAAGCATTTTAGGCAGCCATGACCCAGGAAGGATCTCTAGCCGCTATCTGAGGAGTGGCCAATGAAGTTATCACAAGGCTGTAATGTAAACACTGCATTTTCTCTGAAAAGACATTGTTTACAGCAAAAAGCCTGAAGATAATGATTCTACTCACCAGAACAAATTAAAAAAGCTGTAGTTGTTCTGGTGACTATAGTGTCCCTTTTAAGCTCCTCCTTTGGTTAGAGAATGTCAGGGGTAGGAAAAATACATACAACAAAGCAGTCTTATGTTTTAAAGAAAACTAGATAGAAACAATAGGAGAAAGGGATGTTTGTCGTGAGAGTGCCACTTTAACTCACATACAAGGCTCCTGCAGGCTTGAGTGAGCTACTAACAGAGCAGGATATAGGACATTCTAAATTAAACAGACTGCAATAATAGAAGTTTAAGCATTAGATCTCTCTTTAACCCCTTTAGGACGGCGGGCGTTCTATGCCGTCCTTAGGGACCCAGCTGTAAACACCGGCGGGCGGCATAGAACGCCCAAGCTGTCCTTTCTACTTACCCGGTCGCTGGTGATCGCGGTATGGGGACTTACCTGGGAGCCCAGGGAGTCCCGGCATAGTCGTCCATGTCAGTGCCAGCAGGGGGAGTACTTTTGCAAATGGTATGCCATCATGGGGGTAATTCTTATTCCTGGGCTACCATACGGTCTCAAAGGCAACGTAACCAATCTGGCAAATTTCAATGTGAAAAAACTGAAAAATGTAACATGCTATATTTGACTCTGGAACTTCCCATAACACCATAAAACCTGTACATAGGGGGTGCTGTTTTACACGTGAGACATCGCTGAATACAAATATGTGTATTTTATTGGAGTAAAGTAAACAGTATTATGGCACTCACAGTTAAAATGTCACGTAGAACTAAACATTCATTTTAAAATTCTTATTTTCTCCCATTTTTAAATATTTTATTCATATTAAATTGTTTCATACCTAAATATTTGACGTTAAATGAAAGCCATGTTTCCCCTGTATAAAATTTTATATATATATATATATATGTATGTGTGTGTATATATATGTATGTGTGTGTATATATATGTATGTGTGTGTATATAATATGTGTGTGTGTGTGTATATATGTATATGTGTGGGTGCACATAATATGAAAGAGGTGAATTACGCCTGAACAGACATATAGCGCAAATTCAAGTTTTTGTTTACGTTTTGTTTTGATCACAACGTGTACATTTGGCTCAGTCCTTAAGGGGTTAAGTGTGTAAGGAAACTGCAGGTCACATGCAGGGGAGGTGTGACTAGGGTTTCATAAACAAAGCGATTTAAATCCTAAATGGCAGAAATTGAGCAGTGAGACTGTGGGGGCTTGATCTATAAACCGCAACTGCTTCATTCAGCTGTCTTTATTGGAGCTTACAGTGTACCTTTAAATTAAATTTGGGAGATCTGATAAATATGGTATCATTTATGGATTTTCTTGAATTGAATTCTGTGATTTAGACCTGTCTGTTTTCATTGCTACTACATGCTAGTGTATGTAATGAACATCAGAATCTGTTACCAATGACATTTTATTCTGTTTATATTTGTTTGTCAAGGTTAACCCCTTAAGGACACATGACATGTGTGACATGTCATGATTCCCTTTTATTCCAGAAGTTTGGTCCTTAAGGGGTTAAGCCATTCCTTTCTCTGAGAACTGAGATCAATTTCTTGCACAGATTTTGTTGCAAAGACCGAGGTCCCCTTTTCCCCTTGTCCTTGCTGCAAACAATATTTAGCACCAGCACAAAATTAAAGGGACCCTATGAGCGCCCAGACCACTGCAGCTCATTTAAGTTGTCTGGGTTAGGTGCCCCTGTCAGTTTAACCCTTTGTGACGGGCTGATCATCATCACGTGTTCTTTGAGGGGCCTGTTTGCCAGCCTCCTGCCTCAGGACTCTGGGCCATGCAAAAAGGCTCATAAAAGACCTTGTTTGTGCCTTTTTGCTATTCTGTTCGGTATATTGCATTCCCTTCCTATTCTAACTTTGTCCCATTCGACTACCGAACAACCGCACAAACCAGAGACCACCCTGGAGCTTGTTAACACCCACAACTTGGAACAGTTCTCACCGCAGTGTTCTAATTATTCGTCTGGCTGGCCGCAATTGCTTTGGACAACCACGAGGTGGCGGCCATCTTGTTCGGGTGAATGCAGGCAGCGCTGTTTGGGCATGAATCTCATGGAACTAAAATCGGACACTGAAACTCCCGAACACTGCTGGACTTCCATCATCGCCTGCATTCGGTTCTATACAAGTTAGATGGGCACTGTTCGGTGAAATCGTTCGTCTGGATGAGGGCAACAAGCTCCAGGGTAAGAACATTGACTATGTTCGGTAGTTTGTTCGTTTTCCAAACTACTGAATTAGACCGACTGCAAGCCCCTGATTCTCTGGAACTGTTTTGGGCATGGGACCATGCGGGCGGTCTGTTAAAAATATGACTTCCAGGAAATTCCTGAACTGATCTTGGTGATTTTTTGATATGTTGGTCACTCAGATCAGGACTATTAGGGGATGTAACTTTGTGTGGGTTTTGTGTGTTTTAAGGTATTTTTGGGGTTTGTAAAATTTTGTTTTTTGTGTGTTTGGAGATAATTGAGTTTAGTATAGAGCTGACTCAATTATCTCCCAGGCATAGGGGAGGGGTTGACCTATTTTGTATGGGAGTGTTCTGGACCCGAGAGCCAATCACGGTACTCCTTTGGATCACAACACTTGCTCTTATAAGAGCCGCCTGCTTCGCTCTCTGGACTAGGAAGTCTACACACTGGAAGTTGGGTCCAGGGTGGGTGGAGGACGGCGAGACCCCAACCAAGCTGCAGTGGTTTGTGGGGTTTACGGTGCTTATGGTGCTCGCAAGTACTAGGAAGCAGCGATTGACTAAGGTTCCCGGTCCGTCACATTGGTGGTAGCGGCGGGATGGCTTCCTAGTGAGTGTAGAAGCATCCTGAAGACACCGGTATCATTGGATTTATAATTGAGGGCAACGCTAGTATTTGTACAGCGCCCCTATCTACGAAGGAACTCTGAAGATGGACGAGCTAGTCCCCGGGCAGCGCTCACATACGAGGAGGAGTTCCTTCGGGAGATGCGATGGCGACTGTCTTTTTTTGGCCCTGATGGTAAAGATTGTTAGGGCACTCGAGACCCAAGTGACAGAGTACCTGCAGTACCAAGCAGAATGGGCAGGTGAGCATGCCCCAGCAGAAGCAAGCAGCCCTGGGAGTGGAGATAGTCTGTCTCACTACCCAGCACCAGGCAGTGTTACCAGGAGTCGAGACAGTCGGTCCGACTCCCCAGTGGCAGCCAGAGATACCAGAAGAGAAGACAGCTTGTCCCCCTTCTCAATTACAGGGTCCTGGTCTCATAGACTATTCCTGGGGGGAACCCCAACTTGCAGGTGGAGATGGGACCGAGGTCTCTCCACCGGCCCTTTAGGGATGCTGGGCAGGCGGCCCAGATCCCCAACTGCACCTGGAAGAATGAGGAGGGAGGACAGTTGGTCCTACTCCTCAGCGGCGGCACACCGTACAGGGAGAGGGGATAATCGGTTCCTCTCCCCAGCGGCAGCCGGAGGTACCGGAAGAGGAGACAGATGCCCCCTCTTCCCCCACTACAAGAGGAATACTGGGAAGAGGTGGACGATTCCTCCTCTCAGCAGCAGCTGCCCAACCTGGTAATGGGGATAGTGGAGGAGATGGCAGTACCCACTGACCCCATCCCAGCGGAAGAGCTGGCATCAGGGCAGAGCAGAGCTGCCCTCTGCCCTACCAGTCCCCTTATTACAGCACTGGATTGTCCCCAGATCCCCCCAGCAGGAGCTCTGGCATCCGGGCAGAGAGCAGCTGGCCTCTGCCCTCCCCTTTCCCTTTGTCCAGGGTCTGTATACCCGCAGGCCATCCCAGCAGCGGAGCTGGCATCAGCGCAGAAGCAGCGATTGACGGAGGTACCCGGTCAGGGTGCCAGGCCATCCGTCACACCCTATAATGGTAATTATTGCAGTTATTGAAAAAAAACGCACTAATTACATTGTAAAGTTAACTCCACCACTTGTGGCTGTCTACCAGACAACCACTAGAGGGCGGAGGCGGAACCTGACCCAGCATCGAGGGACATTTGTGCTGGATTCAGATAAGTGAATTAAGGGTTTTTAACCCTTTCTGCTTGCCGTGTGCATGAGCGAGGGGGGCACTAAAGGGTACAATAGTGCTAGAGGTACAATTTTGTATACTTAGCCTAAAGTTTCCCTTTAATATTGTAAAATCTACATCTAATGTAAAATACATTACATACAGAAAAAAAATATTTTTATTGTCCTAATGTATTTGAATCAACTAACCGCTCCGCGCTTTTTTTTGGCTTTTATTTTTTTTTTCACCCACTTGTTTCATTTTAATTTTACCCAGACAATTATTTGAGTGTATGGTTATTATGATCCTTATACTGAATGCTTGCAGTGTATGAGAAGTAGTTGTAGGTTGTTTTTATAATTTTCATTTTAATTATTAAACTGTTGCATTGGTATTTATATTGAAAGCTATGTTGGTAAAATGTTGTTGTTATTTGTGTCACTGATTATAACCCTAACACGCAGAGTTTAGGATAGGAAGGAACAGACTAATAAAATATAAATGTCTTACCAGGCCTTAGAGTGGCCGGAACTTAACGTTAGACCGAGTAAGCGTAGTCGAAATACGAGCCCAGGTCAGAGTAACGGAGAGACAGCGAAAACGAGAACTAGCCAGAGTCAGGTACATGGTAATAATCAGAGGGGCAAACAAGACAAGCAAGGGTAAAAGAAAAAAATGAGTCCGGAAACAAAGCCAAGGTCACTACCAGAATACAAAACTATATCACAAGGAACGCACTAAAGGGTACTGGGAACTGAAACCACAATAGGGCACAAAATCTAGGGCCAGGTAAATTTAAATATGTTTGTTGTTAATTTGATCGGTTCATGCCAGGCCTGCGCCACAAAACGTGTGTGAATGGGGGCGCCGGAATGACGTGGGCCAATGGGAGCCGATCGCAAGAACGCGTTTGTGATGCGAGCAGCATTCCTAATACTGTACAGGCCACGCGCACGTTTAGACTGTTCGGCGCACGGCCTGCCAGGAGTGTTCGAGCCACATGCGGCTCGATCGGAGGACCCCTGCTGGCACGCGGACTGGGTAAGTACTTTTACAATTTGGCATAACTGCACATTTGTCATCACAAAACCTGTTGACTAAAAAAAATCCTTGCTGTGCTTTAATCTTGGTGGTTTATAGTATCTTTGAACATCTATTCATAAACAGGGCTATACATAGGACACGAGGTCACACATTTAGGCTGGAAGAAAGGAGATTTCATCTAAGGCAAAGAAATTTTTTTTTTTACAGGAAGAGCAATAAGGATATGGAATTCTCTGTCTGAAGAGTTGGTTTTATCAGAGTCCATACAGATGTTTAAACTGAAATTGGATAAATATTTGCAAAAACATAACATACAGGGATATAATTTCTAATTAGTGGGGTAATAGCTGCTTTATCCAAGTAGACATCTGACTGCTATTTTGGGGTCAAGAAGGAATATTTTCCTAGTCTGTTGCAAAATTGGAAGCGCTTTAGACTTGTTTTTTTGCCTTCTTTTGGATCAACAGCAAAAATATATGTGAGGAAGGCTGAACTTGATGGATGCAAGTCTCTTTTCAGCTATGGAACTATGTATGGGGCCCACAACTGTTCTTGGAGCCGTGTATTTCAGTCTGCATGCTGTATACTTAATGAGGGTCTATCACTTTATTTCTTTGTATTATGGACACTTCCCTTTTCTTTACTGCAATGTGGTTTACAGTGACCGTAAGTATAAAACCTACCAGTGCACTTTCACGTGTGATGGACACCTCTGTGCTTTGTGCACGCTTGGAATTATGGGATATGTAGGATTTGTTTTGAATGTAAAGCTGTGCTTTTTTTTTTTTTCCCAAAAACTAGTACCCAGTGTAAGTTTACTATTTAAGTGAGTATGGCCCTCACACAGAAATAATGGTTTATTGTTCACTATGACGTTTCCTTTTTAAATGTCTGTTATTACCTTAATTTATCTTTTATCTTCCCAACAGCTGAGCATTCAAAAACACCAATACGCAAACCCAAATGTGCGAAAGGCATTCACTGCTCTCGTAATGCGTACATGTTGGTGTACAGGCTGAAGACTGATAAGACAGATGCTGTAAAGTTTGAAGTGCCAGGTGAGTGGATTGAATAATGGACTGCAAATTAAACATCACCCCTTTCTTGCTAACCGTAGATTTACAGAAAATGTATGATATTTTACACCCTAGGACAGAGGAACGCAACCATTGGCACTCCACATGCTGTGAACGAACATTTGCCATAATGCTGGCAAAGCATCAGGGGACATGTAGTTCACAACATCTGGAGTGCCAAAGTTCATTATTAAAATAATCGTAAAAAGACATTTGATTCAACTATTGACAAATTCAAAGATATTCAGTTTTAGATGAAAACTTATACTTGGTCTGCTTTATAATCCTAAACATGACGACAACCCTACAGTAGTTGTGTCTTTTCTTTGATGATTGTATAGATTATATTGTTTGGGCTTTAGACTGCATCAATGAACCGAGGTATACCACTCACCTCGCTCAGCCCTGTGCTTTTAGCATTTCTCTGTATCGCATATAGCTATTGTTTGAATGCGCTCCCACTACATATATATATTCAGGCCCGGACTGGCCATCGGGCACACCGGGCAAATGCCCGGTGGGCCGCGGTGGCCGTGGGGCCGAGGCCGGCAGGGAGGTCACAGGATCTCCCCTGCCGGTCTTTGCAGGGCCGGCACTATCTGAACGCCGGCCCTGCAGTAGTCTACAGCGGGCCGGTGGGGAGATCAGAGATCTCCCTCACCGGCCCACATGCAGGATAGTGCGGCCGCCGGGGGAGAGAGGGAGGGAGCCAGCCTGCCAGGAGAGGAACCCGGCGGATCTTTAACTTACAGCTCCACCAGGTTCCTCTCACGAGATTCTGAGCGTTGCCATGGCAACGCTCTGGGTCTCGCGAGAGTGAACTCTAGCCCAACAGGCTAGAGTTCACTCACCACTAGGACCACCAGGGATGGATGGAAGCCCCAGCAGCAGGATCCCCCCCTCCCAGGCATAAGGTAAGCAGGGAGGGGGGATTGAATCAGGGCACAGCAGGGCACATAACACTCACAGCACCCTCACACACACACACTGCACCCCTGACACTCACAGCACCCTCACTCTCACACACACACTGCACCCCTGACACTCACAGCACACACACTGCACCCCTGACACTCACAGCACCCCTGACACTCACAGCACACACACTGCACCCCTGACACTCACAGCACACACACTGCACCCCTGACACTCACAGCACACACACTGCACCCCTGACACTCACAGCACCCTCACTCACACACACACACTGCACCCCTGACACTCACAGCACACACACTGCACCTCTCACACTCACAGCACCCTCACACACACACACACACACTGCACCCCCTGACAGCACACACACTGCACCCTGACACTCACAGCACCCTCACTCACACACGCTGCACCCACACCCACAGCACCCTCACAGCACACACACTGCACCCCTGACATGCACTGCACCCTCACTCACACACTACACGTCTGACACTCACAGCACACACAAAATGCACCCCTAACACTCACAGCACCCTCACACACACACATTGCACCCCTGACACGCACAGCACACACACTGCACCCCTGACACTCACAGCACCCTCACACACACACACTGCACCCCTGACACGCACATCACACACCCTCACTTACACACACTGCACCCCTGACACTCACAGCTTCCTCACATGCACATAGCACCCTCATGCAAACACAGCACCCACTCACACACAGCACACACACACTGCACCCATCACACACACAGCACCCTTACCCACATAGCACCCTCACGCAAACGCAGCACCCATCACTCACACACACACTGCACCCCTCTCTCACACACACTACACCCCTTATACACACACACACACACACAGAGCACCCTCACACACACTGCACAATATGCTTTCCAGGCATTTTTGTCTCCTGGTATCCCAACTATGGAGACACCAGAGACAAATTTCAAGCAAACACAGTGCAAGCATGTTATTAAATTTGCTTGCGCTGTGCAGAACAAATACAGGGTATTTTTCTCATGCCAGAGCTCTTCAGCAGAGCTCTGCGCATGGTCTACCCAACCAACATGCTCACTTTGTGATGGGGCGTGCTTGTCATTGGTGATGACAAAATACACCCTATCTGGCCCCGCCCCCTTTTGAGTGGGCCGCTGTAATTAAAAAATGCCCGGGCCGAATTTTCTTCCCAGTCCGGCCCTGTATATATTTGTGTGTATTTTGTGTTGTAATTTTTCTTACAAAGGTATTTTACTAGATTACAGTCCCTGGATCCTTTTTTTTTTTTTTTTTTGATAATTTACTCTGGCAAAGTATTTGTATCATTTCATGAGGATGTCTGTTCTGTGCGTTTACTTTACTTGCTATTGTAACAGGTTACAGCAGTGAAATCCTATCATTGAGGTAAGGAAGCAATGTACGGTCTTGTTTCTGTAACCTGTTGATGCAAGTTAAATAGGTAAATACACAGAATGTAAATACCCCTGATGAAGGTGTTTATCCAACAAATTGCCTGTGAAAGCAGAGTAACTGATATTCCAATTTTCGGCCACAGTTTTCCTACAGAAGCTGGTGGAACTGGATAACTGCAAGTTCGAGGAATGGTGCGTGGAGATGTCGGAAATGCGCAGAGAGAGCGTAGACAAAGGGAAAGCCAAACACGAGGAGGTGAAGGAGCTTTACCAGAGATTACCTGCTGGAGCTGGTCTGTAAAATATTTTAATACCCCATTTTTTAGCATTAGGGCTCCTGCATGTGCCAGGTACTAGACCTCTGAGACATTCGTAAATTTCTCCTCTCCAATACTTGTGTATGTTTCATACAGCATTGGCCTCAAACCTCTTTTTTCTTGCTAATTGTCTTGTTAAATCACTGGTATTATTCCTCTCTTTTGACACTGGCTGATTTGTATTGATATAATTATAATTTTTATTATGTTCTGTATGAATTTAAAAGCCATAATGAAGAGTATTAACTGTAGCCACATGAAGAATTGGTCAATGTTTTGCCTGACTTCGTTATTTTTTTTCTCACATTAACTTTTCCTGAATATAAAATATAGCACTTGTTGTTAGCATGTGTTGATCAAACATGTCTGGAATGGACAAATGTGTTATTGGTATTATTGTCTGTTTAGCTTTGCTAACACCAGTCATTTTTCCTGTCCTATATCATAGGCCAGTGGTAGGCAACCTTTGGCTCTGTAGATGTTGTGAACTACATCTCTCATAATGCTTTTACATCTATAATGCTGGCAAAGCATCAGGGGAAATGTAGTTCACAGCATGTGCAGTGCCAAAGGTTGCCTTTAAACGTATTCTCTGTCTGTTTAATAATACTACAAAATTACAATAAGTAAAAGCCGAAGATTGCCTTGCCCCTGTCGTAGGTAGTTCCTGAGAGTTTGCTAGAAAAGATTAATACTTTGGTACCTTTCTCTGCAGTGTATGAACCGTGCTTGGTCACTCCATCTTATTCCTTTGTCTGCTGTCCTTTTTATTTTAGATAATTCTTATGAGTTTGTGCCTCTGGAATGGCTCCAAAAATGGCTTGATGAGTCAACCCCTACAAAGCCAATAGACAATTCCAAATGCTTATGCCCTCACGGGTTACTGCACCCTGACAAAATCTCTGGTATGAAGAGAATCTCACAAGGTGCAGCAGAAATCTTTTTTAAACGGTATGGAGGAAGTCCTCGTCTGACAGGTGAGCGTGTTCCCAGCAGCGATTCCCATGTTTCCTGTCTGCTAGAATGTATTTGTTGAATCACTGCTTCCCTTAAATGAGTGTTGATGTGCTACAGTTTGTATTGAAAGGGTGTTGTTGCATCTCTGTGTCAGGTGGTTGATGTGGCGCCACTGATCCTAGTGGGTGGCTATGCTCCACTTTCTGTGTTAAATTGGGAGAGTTGCGCCTCTGCCTTTGTTGAATGGGTGAAGTTGCCAACTGCTGCTTTGTGTATTTATTAGATATTTTATTATTTTTATTTAGCAGACGCATTGTGCAAGGACTGTGTGGTTGAGAGGTGCCGGGTACTTCGTCTGAAGAACCAATTAAATGAAGATCATAAAACAATCTCAAATTTGGTGAAAGTTACTGCAAACAGGTATAACTTTCATTGATGAGGTTTGATAAACTCTTGTACAACTCAGGAGGTGTGGAAGGGGCAATGCTTGGAGATCTTTTTATTCCAGCTGCTTCTATTATAATTGACTCTTTTTTTTTATTTTATTTTTTATCACAGTGGGGAAGGTTTTTGGGTTGGGAAGGGATCACTTCGTCGATGGCGCCAACTGGCAAAAGAGCAGTTGGATCAGCAGGATGACGAATGTGATCAGAGCAACGGAAATGTTAATGGAGATGAACCAAAGACAGGTAACTGCATCATCCGGTGGTGGTTTGGATACACCATTGCCCACCCCCACCGATTTTCACAATGCTATTCTGTTTTCCTTTAATACAGATGACTTGCTCGAAGAAAAGAAAGAAACAGATTCTGAGCTTGGGTTTAATGAAGATATTATTTGTGAACATGGTAAGTATCCTCTTTAAGAAACCTCTGGAGGAAAGGAGACATCCTTATGTAAGACATGGGGCACCAATACAACTTTATATGTCTGATAGATTGTGCCCTCATTATTATGCTGTATTTATTGCAAGCTCAAATCTGTATTTTTTTTTTCCATAGAAAAACAACTTTAGCAGAATGCTGCACCATAAGCCTGCCTCCTTGGTGCCTAGAGAGATATCAGCTATGCCTCACTGATGATGCCCAACAAGGCTGAAACGATTGTCTTCAGTTGTTGTATCTCTCGTGCAGAGGGAACTTGCTGGCATTTAGGATCTGGACTGCCCGTATGGGTGGGACCAGTCTGATATGTTTCAGAGATGTTCTCTCTGTAATGGCACAAGATGATCTAAAACCAGTTTGAGAACTGAGCAGGGACCCACCGAAGGGCAGGCTATTTCAGCTGCTGCCTGTTCTCAGTATTCTCTTGTTTTTTGCTCTCCTCGTCCACACCCTCTCGTGGCAGAAAGACTTCCTTATCCATGTATGTACACAGGTCAGCCTCTGAGAGAGCTGCTTTTAATTCACCACCTTGCTGCAGACAGTCAGAGAAATTCTAACCCGGTAGTGATATCCTTACTGCATGTTTCCCTGGGTGTACTCTCCTTGTGCATGTTGTAGTTCAGATCATTTAATGATAAGGAGGTTTTTCCCCACAGTGAGTATGTGGGCCAAGGAGGCAGGCTTATGGAAAACATTCATTCTTTGTGTAAAAAAACTATAAAGATTTGAGCACGGAAACAATACAGCATATTAATGAAGCCAAAACCTATTAAATGCATTCAATTTGTATTGTTGCCTGGAGAGTCCCTTTAAAAGCAGCGTTGCACCCCTACCCGTCCCATCCCATGGTGATTTGAAGGAGCGGTTCATATAATAGCAAGCTGCTGAACACTCTGTCCTCTCCACTTCTAGGAGGCCTCTGTATTTGTGAAAGTGAGAGGAGAGTAATAACAGATGAAGCGTGGTTCAAACTGAAGGAATACTTTCCTAATGCTCCGGTGTTTCGACATGATCAGGAATCCTGCTCCCATTGCAAGGTATTTCATGGAGCTGATGTTTCTCTGCCCTCTGTCATCTTCTGTAATTTTTAAAGAATGTCATGTAATTAGAATATATGCTATTCTTTGTTGGTTGGTTGTTGCAGCCGAGGCTATTCACTTTATTTTCTGAGCATGCATTGTGCCATGGAAAGATCCTTCAGATCACTGTTTCAATGCCTTTTATAATGATCATTCCATTACTGATGGCTAGTGCTTTTTTTTTCAGATTTTGGAAATAGAAGGTGAGAAACATGAAGCCCTACATAAGATGATGGCCAATGAGCAGAAAACAGCCCTTCCAAACCTTTTCCAGGACAAGAACAGACCCTCAGGAGGCAATTGGCCTCAGGTGTGTTGGTCTCTGTATGTCATATTGTGTTGTGTGTCAGGAAGGGTGCGCGTTATGCTCGCTGTGTGAGTGTCCCGAAGGTTGGGTGTCATACTTACCAGGATGTTTGCACAGCATGCTCAGCTGTGTGTTGGGAAGGTTGTGTGCTTGCTGTGTGTGTTGGGAAGGTTGCGTGGTGTGCTTGCTGTGTGTGTTGGGAAGGTTGTGTGGTGTGCTCACTATGTGTGTTGGGAAGGTTGTGTGGTGTGCTCGCTGTGTATGTTGGGAAGGTTGTGTGGTGTGCTCGCTGTGTGTGTTGGGAACGTGTGGTGTGCTCGCTATGTGTGTTGGGAAGGTTGTGTGGTGTGCTCGCTGTGCGTGTTGGGAAGGTTGTGTGGTGTGCTCGCTGTGTGTGTTGGGAAGGTTGTGTGGTGTGCTCATACGTGTGTTGGGAAGGTTGTGTGGTGTGCTCATGCGTGTGTTGGGAAGGTTGTGTGGTGTGCTCGCTATGTGTGTTGGGAAGGTTGTGTGATGTGCTCGCTGTGTGTGCTGGGAAGGTTGTGTGTTGGGAAGGCTGCATGGTGTGTTGTAAAATGTTGCAGAAGATGTTTGAATGAATGTGTGAATAATTGGATTGAACTATAACTACTCAACTGTTTTTAAAGAAATTGACTTTCATTTTGTATAATGTCATACAGGAAGCTTCTGAGCTCTATGTTGTATCTCAGTTTTTTGTGGAAGAATGGAGGAAGTTCATTAGGTAAAAACACCATCATTTCATCTTCTTTATAAAGGGAACTGCCAAACCCCTCTTAGCTGAAATGTTTCCTTGTCTTTTAGACTGAATTTAAAGTTTTGCTCTATTGTAGTCATTAGCCCTGGTTGTACTGTTTTCTTGTACCATATCTTTACACAGTTGAGTACAGAATACTAAGCATTGCAGTAAAGTGACATTTTAGTTTGCATGACTTACACGAAGTCAGTAGTTGAGATCTCTGTTAGCGAGACTTGTACGGGCACAAATATAATCTCATGCCCATAGTAAGTACTAAGTAATGTTAAAAACAACATCCTTTCATTTTTATTTTTATTTTTTTTTGTGTACAGGAGACCAACAAAAAGCAGCCCTGTCTTCTCTCTGGGGAACAGCATCCTCCTGTGTCCACACGGGGGCCTTATGTTTACATTTTCCAACATGACGAAGGAGGACGCCAGGCTGTGAGTTTCTAATCTGTTTAATGATGGTGGTTTGGGTGGGAGGCAGACTAGTCAGATCTATGTCACTATCCTGTCTGATGGTGGATACTTAGATAGCTGACCGTTCAATTGAGATTGTGTGTGTGTGTGGTTACTGTAGCTGGAGTTTTACTGATTGTGAAATGCAAACTTCTGTCATTTGCAACCATCTTATATCGTGTTTTTCTTTAAACAGTCTAGCTCTGATATGGCCTGACGAATGGGAAGCCATCCGAAAACTCTTTACTGTTGACCATACAATCAAAATCACCAAAACATTTATAACGGAGGAGGACGCCACGGTAACTCAGCGTTACGTATCAGACCCTGGTAAATCAAGTGTTTAATACAGTATTAGTTTCCTGTCTCGGAAACTGTGTGCTTGTAACAGGCTTTTTTAAAAGCAAAATATGTAGATTTCCAAGGACAGCTTTTTAGAGCATAATGTATCCTCTACATAACATAAAGGTCACTGGCGAGTGCTAGGCATTCTCTGGTGTCAATGTATGCCTCCTTACACGCTCTTAATTTGCTCGTCTTTGTTGTAGAATTATGCCCGGAGTGCCGGGAAGGCTTATTATGTCAACAGCAGAGGGACATGCGAGAATATGCACAGGCTACAGTCTATGTCCACAAGGTGGTGGACGATAAAAAGGTAATGCATTCTTCCTGTAGCATTGCTTCTGATACACATTCATCAGAAAACAGATACTGACCTGTGCAAACTCTTCATATAGGTGATGAAAGAAGCTGCTCCAGAACTAAACGTGAGCAGCTCAGAACCAGAAGATGAAAAAGAAGATCCCCGACCAGAGGGTGAGAGTGATCCTGATTTCAGTCAGGTGAGAGACTCTTAATAGGATCCTTCATATTGCAGAACCAAGTTAATACTATCATGTGTTTAAGCTATGAACATTATATATATATATGTGTGTGATTTTATACAGGTGTACTTAGAACTTGGCGGGTGACAATACAGTAATTATTCAGCAGGTGTATATTTTATTTATTGGATGCTCACATTCTAGGCGGAAGTTGAGTGTAAGATTAATGTAATGCATGTATAAGATTAGAACATCGTGCTCCTTGGATATTACAATGTGAGTGTTACTGTGGGGATGGTAGTTATGTTATTACAGTGGTTTAATTTCTCATACTTCCGGCATACTGTGACATGGTGACACTCCTTGAAGGAGCTGTTAAAGTGTCCTTAGGAATAGTGAATTAAACTCGTTTTTTTTCCCCGACTAGGATTTTGAATTCTAAGCAGCAGTTATCATAGACCAGGTGCCCCATTACTAAATAGTAAATATGGATATTCTTCATAACGGGAGACTGGATTCAGGATTTAGGCTTGATTCATACTGATGTGATACACAGAATATGGGCTGTGCTGCACATAGGGAAAAATAAGCCGTAAAGCTAAAACATCAGAGCTCAATATCTGTTTATTAAATTTGACAGCAACGTTTCAAGGCAGTGAATTATTTATGACTAGTGTAATCAATCACAATATGTGTCTGTTTCCTGTCTGGTTAGAACTTCACCTTGAACCACTTATGGCTTTAAATCTGCAGATAGTGACTGTAGAAATCATGTGTCCAGTAATTGGCAGCTCATGTCCATATTGTAACAATAGATCCCCAATGTAGTAGTAATTGGCAGCTCATGTCCATATTGTAACAATAGATCCCCAATGTAGTAGTAATTGGCAGCTCATGTCCATATTGTAACAATAGATCCCCAATGTAGTAGTAATTGGCAGCTCATGTCCATATTGTAACAATAGATCCCCAATGTAGTAGTAATTGGCAGCTCATGTCCATATTGTAACAATAGATCCCCAATGTAGTAGTAATTGGCAGCTCATGTCCATATTGTAACAATAGATCCCCAATGTAGTAGTAATTGGCAGCTCATGTCCATATTGTAACAATAGATCCCCAATGTAGTAGTAATTGGCAGCTCATGTCCATATTGTAACAATAGATCCCCAATGTAGTAGTAATTGGCAGCTCATGTCCATATTGTAACAATAGATCCCCAATGTAGTAGTTAGGAGAGGCGATCCACAGACATCATGATGGAGTGCATCAGGCAAACGTTATTGGGTTACGTGTACAAAATTGCCTTAAAAAAAGGGCCAAAATTGATTCAACTGTAAATGATTTTGTCCAATAAACATTTCTTTCTCCATACTGATGCGCTGTTAGACAACGCAAACTATTTGTGCCATTCATGGATAGAGAGATTTATCTACCTCTTTAGGCCAACGGGGCAGCAAAGAGACAGAAGGTGTCCAGTCAAGGCTTCATTTCCCATCAGAAGCAAGGAATTCGCCGCAGCACGCGGCATCGCAAAGTGAGAGGAGAAAAGGCTTTACTGGTCTCCGCTAACCAGACTTTAAAGGAGCTGAAAATTCAGGTAATGAAACCTCTGAAGCGATTATCTTTTTCTTGTGAGAATCTGTAAAAGGTCATGGAATTTCCTAGCGTTTTATAACTGTGCCTCAGAATATCTTTAATGGGGTTCTGTCACTGACTGCCAATATTTCCTCATAATACCAAATTGCTGCTTTTCACATAAAATGCAACAAAGTGTATATTCTGGTCTGTATTCCAGTAACTATGCCCCTCATATCGCATTGTACAAGCTAAGTGTGTGGAATAATGTCCTTTCTGGCACACTGGTGGAGACTTTCCATGTGGACACTGTATTAATTATGGTGCTTTCTGCAGATCATGCATGCGTTTTCCGTCGCCCCATTTGACCAGAACTTGTCTCTGGAAGGGAAAGTACTGGACAATGACTCTGCCACTCTCGGGGAGTTAGGAATCATTCCAGAATCAGTCATTGTGTTAAAGGTAGGATTTTAACGGCTTGATGCAAGATATCTTCATGTTAGCCCCATGAACTCATGGAATTTTTTGATAAATTTTATATATTTTTTTCTCTCGCTCTCTGAAGGCTGATGAACCACTTGCAGATTATGCCAGTATGGATGATGTACTGCAAGGTAAGGAGGGAACTGGGACCTACAGAGATTTAAAAAAATAAATAAAAAAATCCATTGTGTTTTTACTCCAGGACCCAGGTTGCCAATATTTTGTACTACTCATGACATCCTTATTGAGGAAATCGAGGCCTGATTAGATTTTGAAAACATAATTCTAGCCCAGAATGGAGGATGATTGCTAAGTTGTAAATCTAGCATTGCTATCTATGCTATGTAAAAGCACTCTCTAAGGCTCCAAACAGCTTTAGCGTAATTAAATGGTTTTGGTGTTTAGATCATGCAGTTGCAGTCTCGGTGCTCAATATTTCAACTCCCTGCATGAGACCTCCACTGCCTTCCTAAAAACAAATTTAGTTTCCTTTATTGCACAGTCTGTTTCATTTCTTATCTCCTGCTCTGTTAAATAAATGCTTGCAAGAGCCTACAGCAGCCTCCTGTGTTGTGGCTAGGGCTGCATAAAGAGAAACAAAATTGATTTAATTCCAAATTGGCAGAGAATTGAGCAGTGAGATGGCAGGGGCATAATCTATACACTAAAACTGCTTCATTAAAGGGACTCGACAGGCACTCAGACATCTTCAGCTCATTGAAGTGGTCAGTGCCCTTAACCCTGAGCAGGTAATTATTGCAGTTTTTTAAATAAATTGCAATAATTACCTTAAAGGGTTAACCCCACCTCTATGCATGAGATCTTCCAGCGTCACCAGAATCTTCATATGAAAGCATTGAATAATGCTTAACAATAGGGAAATCCTAATGCAAGCGTGGCTGTTAATGCAAGTGAACATTAGGTATCCACTGCCGGTTGACGTCGGCAGGGGAGGAGTGAAGGCAGACCCAAGCAAGCAGAGGGACATCGACGATGGACCCAGGTAAGTGACAGAAGTGGTTTTTAACCCCTTACTGCACCACATGGGGTGGGGGACCCTTGACAGAGGGGGAAGCTATAGTGCCAGCCCTTTAACGTAAAGCTGTTTTGGTGCATAAAGTGTTCCTTTAATACTCGCTATGAAGCTGGTTGCCTAAATGGCGTAGATCTGCTATAGAATGTTTGCGTACTGTATATTTGTGGTTCGCTTTGTGTTAAACGCCTCTTTGAACACAGTGTTCAGTTATTTTTGTTGTGATCTTGTTCTGCTTGGTATTTGTACATGTACTGTATTTATTTGTGTTCCTGCCATATATTTATGAACTTTTTCTTGCTTATTCCTAGTTTGTATCCCAGAAGAAGGATTTAAAGGTGCGTAATTATTTTTACTTTTTTTTTTTCTCACACTGGATAACTTTTGATGTATTTAAAGCCAAATACTTGAAATTGAGAGTTGCCCGGGTTTTTATTGGCTGACTGAAACAAGCGACCAGATTTAACCCTTTCAGTACTACTCCAGTCCCAGCGCTGTTGAGATCAACATTTTGCTGGTGATCACTCTCTGGTCATGTAAATGAAATGCCATGGGTGTACTCCACTGGTTTTGGTAAGTTATATGTGATTAAACAGTACTTGATGTACCTTAAGAGGTTAGACAATGATCTTGCCCCCACGTATATCTGTTTCAAGGCAGTGAATTATTTATGACTAGTGTAATCAATCACAATATGTGTCTGTTTCCTGTCTGGTTAGAACTTCACCTTGAACCACTTATGGCTTTAAATCTGCAGATAGTGACTGTAGAAATCATGTGTCCAGTAATTGGCAGCTCATGTCCATATTGTAACAATAGATTATAGGTTTCAGTGACTGTCATAGCATGGGACACAGTTTATAAATATCTGGCTCATAGTGTCTCGTCAAATGCATTTTATCTGTGCTGGAACAGAAAGTCTGCACTGCATAGCATTGTCAGATCTGATATCACTCATTTCTTCAATTCAGCTGCCACATGGATCCTCTAACCTTCTATTGCCTTCCGTGTGAACCTAGCAGCAGTTTGTGGCACACAGATTCATGCTGCATATTGTACCATTCCTTCTTAGTATGTAAACTAGTTTGTTTGCCACCAGATCCTTTTGTTCTCTTTAAAATGTTTCTATTTTTTTCTCAATTCTTTTCAGGAACTGGTCTGCTTGGGCATTAGAACCGTGACAACTCAACCGGCAAATAAAGCGAATTTACCAAGGGTGCAAAATGTATCAGCTGTAAGAATAGCAGATACAGACTGGTCACCTGCCGAATGCATTGCCCATGCCGAATGCCTTACAATGACTTTAGCAGATTGCACTGAAGGACTGCAGAAGGAGAGGGGAGGGGGGGGGGGAGAATGACATTTTTTTAATGTATATAATTGAGGAAATAAAATCTAAAATGTCGAGGAAGAGCCGCCATATAACTTGTTTACATACAGAGTTTAGATAATATTCGGTATGTTACGAGTATTTTGATTGATCCCCATTGGGACAGAGGTACTTGAGCTGCAAGGTCTTCTGGGTAGTGGAAGCTCTTAACACAATGGCCTGTGTCAGACCTATTAAAAATGGATACTTTTTTTTGCAGTTTCCTTAAGGCATGAGACTGGTTTTGTTTGTAGGCTTTAGACTGCCATGCTGCACTGTTTAATTCACACACATACATTGGCTGTTAGAATTCCCAAGAATTCAGCTCAGTATGATCTGAGTTGTTATGTCAAACGTACAATGTGAATAAAGCAAGTTGCTTTTCCTATGGACCATTTATTATGTTATATTTATAATACTGCTCCTGAACTGGACCAGAGCCCAGAAATACTTGGAAATACCTGGACTTGCTAGTGAAATGTCTTTTTTCTTTCCAGACTTGTACCTGTGCTGTTTCCTCCCCAATAGATCCTAAGTCACACTCCACTATTTAAATGGTTAAGGCAGTAGCTTAGTAAAAGCTTTTCCCAATCACACATTCAGGAAATGTATCTATTTTACATCTAGGTTAATTGAAATAGCTACCTTGCTATGCACGCTGTGTTTATGAGTGACTGAAAAGTGTAGAGCAGGAGAACCCTCTTGGTGGCAGTTCAGTTTTCCATCACATCAACTTTCTCACCAGAAAAGATCACTCTATGAAACTGTAAGCAGCTTGACATTTAGCCAGAACTAAGTAGTAAGTAAGCAGTGATATATGTCCCCGTGACACACAATGCCTGGCTCCGGTCCTTATATCAATACACAGTAAGCAGTGATATATGTCCCCCTGACACACAATGCCTGGCTCCCGTCCTTATATCAATGCACAGTAAGCAGTGATATATGTCTCCGTGACACACAATGCCTGGCTCCGGTCCTTATACCAATACACAGTAAGCAGTGATATATGTCCCCGTGACACACAATGCCTGGCTCCGGTCCTTATACCAATACACAGTAAGCAGTGATATATGTCCCCGTGACACACAATGCCTGGCTCCGGTCCTTCTATCAATACACAGTAAGCAGTGATATATGTCCCCGTGACACACAATGCCCGGCTCCGGTCCTTATACCAATACACAGTAAGCAGTGATATATGTCCCCGTGACACACAATGCCTGGCTCCGGTCCTTCTATCAATACACAGTAAGCAGTGATATAGGTCCCCGTGACACACAAATGGCTGGGAGTGTCAGTATAACTGTCTGGTCAGTGACAGGTGTGCTATAGGGGGTAGGAGGGGAGAACACTTGGGTCGTTGGGGTTTAGCATGGTAGACAGGTCAGCAGCACAGATGATATATGACAAGTCTGAGCATTTAGACACAGACAGTGATTTGTCCGCTGCTCAAAGAGAATTTCAAAGTTTAGGCCAACGTAGCCAAAGTGAAGGCGCAGCATACTTCGAGATTTTCTTTTAAATTAGAGGCCTTAAATTTGAAATTCACTTAGGATTGTAAAAAATAACACTAGTGATTTCCTCGGTTAGAGTTCTTTTAAGAGTTCAATCTCATTTTTAGTTGGGATTTTGGTCAAATAAAGGAATTATTCACAAATTGCAAATTGAATTGCTAACTTAAGCTAACTTTTAAAGAAGGGAAAAAAATTAAAATACTCCAACTTGCTTTTATTCCCAGCTTGATTATCTTATCGATTGTAATTCAATTCACTATATATTTATTTTTTTTTTTTAGTGAATATACCCCTAACGTCTTGTACTCGTCATCAAAAGGCAGATTTAATGGTTTAATGTGTAACATCATGTGGCGCTAAGTGGGTGTACAGTATATTTACGTTGTATCAGTTACGTTGTAACATTCACTATAAAGGACCGTAATTGGTTTACAGTAAAGGACAGTAATGGGTTCACAATAACGGACAGTATACTATGCAAAGTACAGATTACAATAGTGTCAAAACAAATCCCATGTAAAGGCAATTTAACCCATTTATTGCTGAGAGAATAAACAGAAATGAAAGCCATGTGTTTAGAATAAATAGTGTTGTCTAGGTGGAGTTAAAATGAGTGTTTAATGCTTATAATATAGAACAAGCAGGCACCTCATTAGCCGTATCCCTAACCAAGGCAGTGAAGAGACAGATGTTAGAGGTAGTACTGCCATTATCTATTGTGCCACATTATTAACAAAGTAAAATGATTATTATTTATAAGGCGCCAACAAATTCTGCAGCGCTGTACAATGGGTGGACTAACAGACACGTAATGGTAACCAGACGAGTTATAAGCACAGGAACAGAGAGGGATTGAGCGCCCTGTTCAATGAGCTTACGTGCTAGAGGGAGTGGTGTATAGTGACAGAAACCAGTTAAAGTTGTTATAATATAGTATCATTAAAGTCACCGTTCTAATTATTTGTCAGATATAGGCTGCATCTATCAGCCAACACCTTCTCTCCCTCTGGAAAAGAACAACGTTACGCTCGCAAAGTCCCAACTAGGCTGCTGGAACCAACCAAAAGAGCAGTAAGCCAGTGTAGCGTTTCTTCTTTCTAAACCAGGAGAGAGAGAGAGGTGCCCCATTGGTATTACAAACCAGACTCCCTTAGTTTTTGTTACTTGGCAATGCAGATGGGTGTTGCTAGGTTCCATAAACACCTGGGGCTTCAGCCCAAAGGAAAACTGAATAACACCTTTACTAGCAGATATGGGAGAATCCATCATGACAAACAAGTACATGCTTCACAGCCAGGTATTCAATGCAATCCATGTGTTCCCTAACTAAGGAGGACGTGCAGCAACGTTCTGTTTCCCAGCCATCCCTTCTGACGGTTACCTGGGGAGCACCCCCATTAGGGATCTTTCTTTTTATATCAGGCTGCTGGTTTGAGTAAATTTTAGAACCCCACTAATATTCTATTGCCCTGTACACAACCTGCAGAGATGGAAAACTCACATCCCACGTTTCAGCTCCCAAAGTTGCAATCTAGCAACACATATAGCAAACAGCTTCCTCCACTGCAGGGAAGGTCCTAGTGGAAGGTAAGCTGTCCTGCGTCTGTGATGACTGGGCCATGATCAGCCCATGTTTAGAAGGTGCCAGAACAGCATCATTGTCAGAAAATAAGCTACATGTTTATTTTGGAGAAATCAGGAAATGCCAGCTGGCGTTACACAAGGCAGACAACTCAAGAAATGATGGCAAAACAGTGGATGGCCTTGGCCACGGCTCTCCTCACCTGTGTGCGGGCCTTTATCAGGCCAACGTTCCCAGCTCCTGCTGATAACGGCGACTATTAAAGACCTCTTGTGCGAGGAACCATCTCTTGAACAAAATGTTGAAACTTGTGGTGACTTTGCTGCTGGTGGCTGGAGGTACGTAGACCGCAAATTAACAATTTTCCGCATGGGGGGGATGGGACATTGTTACCTGCATTAACCCCAGACCTACTTACTGAACATTTTCTTTTTAATGTGCTCAGACACTAATCTGAGAATGTTACGGGAAACGTTCTATACTTGTCTTTTTCACTGTAGGTTGCACTATTTTTCACTGTATATAGTTTATTTCGGACTTAGTGTTTGGGTATGTGGGCACACAGTGTACTTTTATATGTAGAGTTATTTTTTAGGGGCTAATAGCGATCCAGTTTGATTCTATTATTACCCACAGAACCACATTAAATGAAGGAGGGTTAGGTGATTAGTATTTGGAGTAGGGTCATGCTAGCATAGCTGACTTAGAGAATTGTTCCAGTTTGAATTCTCACTTTAGTGAATAATACTGATGTCAATATACATTTTGAAACCTTAATATGTATATATAATAATGAGGTGCCTTTTTATTTTTTACAGCGTATGGCTGTGGGACCCCCACATACTCCCCAAACATCCGTGTGGTAAATGGGGAGAATGCTGCACCCCACACCTGGCCCTGGCAGGTAAGTACCACTCAGAGTACAATCATGTTAGATATATAAGAGAATCTGCAAGAGGAGCAGCATTTCAGTGAAATCATTATTTTATTGGCTTTTATAGCTATGTGTTTAAATATGTAAGACCATTTTGTTTTACGGATGTATGTGTAAATCTTCCATATGATTGGATATTCTAAGTGCCAGGTTTCGGTAGACATTTCCCTTATTTACCAACTTCTTTTCTATTTCTGAAAAAGACTCTATCTATCGCTTACTCCTTATTTTTACAGCGATCTCCTTCTTTCAGGTCTCCCTGCAGTATGAGAAAGAAAACGCGTTCTACCACACTTGTGGAGGGAGTCTCATTGCCCCTAACTGGGTCTTGACAGCTGCTCACTGCATCTCGTAGGTTCTTTGACCTCTCCTGCATTTATTGGTGTCAGAAGTGGGATTTTAAAGCTGAAACACAATGTAGACTTTTTACACATTCGAATAATAAGCAATTCTGTCTTAAAGTTCTAAAATAGAACAATCAACAGTAACATTGTTGATGATTGCTTAAAGTGTAGTAGAACGGGTACTATATGATGTTTGTTTCTCCATATTACTAATAATTCCTGTTTTAGAGTCTTGTCTGCAAATCTTTGAAAATATAATTAAACTGGCATTGTCAAACAGCTCCGGTCGCACATATCAAGTCGTACTTGGGGAACATGACCGCAGTGTGAACGAAGGAAGAGAACAGATAATTCCCGTAGACAGTGCAGACATTTTTGTCCATGAAAAATGGTGGTCCATATGTGCGGCTTGTGGGTAAGTTGTGACATCTACAGTTGATCTATCTGAGGTATATGGTTATTAAATATATAAATTAAATATATACACACCACTACCTCTAACACCCAAAGAATGTCGGAAATTGAATACTTTATGCAACTAAAGATTAGCTTCTAACAGGGATCACCAACACTAAACACAAAACAAATAGAGATACAGCCAACTGATAAAGGAACAAAAACTACATAGTATAGCACTGTTTAGACAATGTGGCCCATAGGGTTTTACTATATTGCACTCACGAACCACTAAATGGAAAAGGTGTATAAATCAATCTCAAATCGTCTTGATAAACTCCCAATGGATGATCTCCATGAATCTTGATATAACATTACAAATAAAATACAATAGTCACCACTAAGGGACACTATAGTCACCAGAACAACTACAGCTTATTGAATTTGTTCTGGTGAGTAGAATCATTACCTTCATGCTTTTTGCTGTAAGCACGGTCTTTTCAGAGAAAATGCAGTGTTTACATTACAGCCTAGTGATAACTTCACTGGTCACTCCTCAGATGGCTGTTAGAGATCCTTCCTGGGTCATGGCTGCCTAAAATGCATCCAAACATTCAGTGTCTCCTCCCTCTACATGCAGACACTGAACTTTCCTCATAGAGATACATTGATTCAATTCATCTCTATGAGGAGATGCTGATTGGCCAGGGCTGTATTTGAATTGTGCTGGCTCTGCCCCTGATCTGCCTCCTTGTCAGTCTCAGCCAATCCTATGGGGAAGCATTGTGATTGGATCAGACCACCACTTCCGATTATGTCACAGGAAGTTCACAGGCAGAGGCAACAGCTTCAGCCTTGAATACAAGTAAGATTTTACTATCTTTCGGGAGGCAAAAGGGGCCAGGGGGGCTAGATAGTGGTTTTAAAACTATAGGGTCAGAAATACACGTTTGTGTTCCTGACCCTATAGTGCTCCTTTAACCCCTTAAGGACCAAACTTCTGGAATAAAAGGGAATCATGACATGTAACACATGTCATGTGTCCTTAAGGGGTTAAAAAGATGATGCAGAACATTCTATATCCCATATAAAAATATACTTTATTATACTTAATTTTTTTTAAAGAATTTGCAAAATATCATTAAAACGTCACCATATCCGATGACACACAAACACCTTGGCAATGCCCTACGCATTTCAAAACCATCTTTTTTTAAAATATATTTTATTATAGTGTGATATCAAGATTCATGGTGCTCATCCATTGGGAGTTTGCCAAGACAATTTGAGATTGATTTATACACCTCTTACATTTAGTGGTTTGTGAGTGCAATATTTTAAATCCTTTTGGGCCAGATTGTCTAAACAGTGCTATACTATGCGCAATTTAGATTTTTGGGGTGCCCGAATTTAGTCGTGCCTAGGGCAGCACAAATCCAAAATACACCACTTCCCCACTCCCCACCTTAGACATTGATTTAATCCCTGCTTGAACAGACTTCCTTGGCAGAGAATAAGGAGCAATTTATGTCACTAATGGATACGTATGGA